GTGTGTGTGTGTTGTCTGTGTGTTGTCTGTGTGTTATCTGTGTGTGTATGTGTTGTCTGTGTGTGTGTGTGTGTGTGTATGTGTGTGCTGTGTGTGTGTGTGTGTCTTGTCTGTGTGTGTGTGTGTTGTCTGTGTGTTATCTGTGTGTTGTCTGTGTGTTGTCTGTGTATTCTGTGCGTGTTATGTACAGGTGTCCCTGATCGAGAGTGTGACGCTCTCATCTGGCGTGCATCTGATATGCCGCTGTTCCTGCTGATGGGTGCTATCGGTGGCCTTCTGGGCGCCATCTTCAACAGCATCAACGAGCACATCACCCTCGCACGCATGCGCTACTGCAACGCCCAGATGCGTACGCGGCGCGTGGTGGAAGTTCTAGTGGTGTCGGTGGTGACCAGCATCTCGCTGTTTCTGGCCGGTAGGTATCTGGGCCAGTGTCACCCCATTGCGCACCAAGAGACGGGTCGCGTGGAGATGTACAAGTCCTACTTCTGTCCCGAGGGCACGTGGAATGACATGGCCACCCTCACCACATCCGGCAACGAGGCTGTCATCAAGACGCTCTTCCACAGGTATGGGGTTTTGTGTGCGGCAAAGTATACTGATAGCCGAATCGTCGGGACGTTCTGTACCACATCTGCGCCGCTGTATGGTCTTGTGGTGGTCCTGCCGACTCGGTCTGAGCTAAACTAATAGCTTTCTATGGCTGGGCTTTCCATATGCAGTCTGTAGATACCTGTACTAATCGCACACGCTTTGAAATGTATCCCTGGGCTCACACATAGGGGCGAGAAATTCTCATTCACCACGCTGGGTCTGTTCTTCGCCATCTACTTTGTCATCTGTTGCTGGACGTATGGCATCGGAGTCCCCTCGGGTATCTTTGTGCCTGTGCTACTCACGGGAAGTGTCTACGGCCGCGTGTGCGCCATGACACTGCAACAGATCTACGACCACTTCGGATGGGTGTGTTGTTGGTGTTCTGAGTCTTTTGTGTGTGCGTAATCTGTAGTACACGCACCTATACTTCGGTTGTATATGTGCAGGGTGTTTGTTCTGTTACTTATAGTTTGGTTGTATATGTGCAGGGTGTTTGTTCTGTTACTTATATTTCGGCTGTATATGTGCATGTTGTTTTTTCTGTTACTTATATTTCGGTTGTATATATGCAGGA